TTGCTCGTAGGCTCGAGCTGGGAGAAGGGGTTGAGAGGGGGTTCCCCCTCCAAAATGAGATTTTTTAAAATAATATCAACCTCTAGATGGCCGAAAATGGCACTCTCAGACTGTGACAAACATGTGTTGGCTTGTTGTGGGCCTATTTATATAATGCTTTATGGTCTGACTGCTAGACGAGCTTTGCATCCACCCCCCCCCCCCATTGCTAAATCCTAGATCCGCCACTGCAAAATTATATTGCATCTAGATGAATTATCATCTACATCTACAAGCTGCATACTCGCTGTGTATTATTAGTTATCCTCGGTATAAATGTTTATCCTTCCTCCAGGTAAATACATTTCATATAACTAAATCTATTAACGCCACGGATGATAGAAACAATTCCCTACGTGTTTCTAGGCGTCTATCGGACAGGAGAGTGTAATAGCCGGCCTGAAGGGGATGTAGGCATGGTGGAGACCGTAAATGACTAGAATATCTGCTGTTTTGGGAATTGGTGAATCGTTTTGTTTAATAGATGTTTTTGATAAGAAATCTGAATTTAAGAAATATTTAGGCTGAAGGTTTGTCATTGAACCTCACATACAGAAAATAATGTAATCGGTATCAGTTATAGAGTCTTGAAATAGGGGAATGGGTGAATGTGAAGTGTTGGACTCAATGATTGGAGGAAGTGGTACCTCGCAAAATATCATGGTCTTCTTAACTTGAATGTGATTTTTTTTGCTTCAAACAGTTTCAATGGGCGTTGGGCCGACTGAGGGATCGAGATTTATTAGGCAGCGTGCGCATCCCAAGATACGACACTGGCTGTTCGTGTATTTAAAATGTAATTTTTATTCCCGGCTGTTTTTTTTTTTTTTTTTTTTTTTTTTTTTTTTTTTTTTTTTTTTTGTCATAACGTTAATCTGGCTGTTATTTATAGTACTGGTTAATTATAGTCTATATTGACACTAAAGGTGAAGTGTCAGGAGTAAAGCACTCTCGCATTCATTTATATCAGACTTTATTAACGTGTATGGGCGAATGTTGTCTTTTTAAATTCATCTTAAGATATGACAATATTAAGCATCATTGTTGATATGATGAAGTTGAGCTATGCTGATAATGAGTTAGGATTACTTGAATAATGGTGATCAAATGGTGATCAAATGTTGATATTTATAATTTGATTGTCTAATGTATGTATTGTCCAATCATATTTTCAATTACGTGCATTAATTTATTATTCAGCTACCGTAAAAAAAGTTGTCTTGTGTTTGTGCTTCTCGTCAGTGGCGGCTCTAGGATATATTTTCTGTGGGGGGGTGGTCTAAGTTGTCCGGCAGGGGGTTCCCCCTCCAAAATGAGATTTTTTTTAAAGAATATCAACCTCTAGATGGCCGAAAATGGCACTCTCATATTGTGACAGACATGTGTTGGCTTGGTGTGGGCCTATTTTTATATGCTTTATGGTCTGACTGCCCGACGAGCTCTGTCCGGCGGGGGGCTTGACCTGTCCGGTGGCTGGGGGGGGGGGTTAAGCCCCCATGCCACCCCGCTGGCGAGGCCACTGCTTCTCGTGTATATAATAATATATTATGTGCTGAGTAGGGAAAACATACACTTTCTAAGCTTAACTTCTTTTTAGATGTCATCTAAGAGCGTCTAGCCGTCTACTAATTCCAAAGAAAAACTCAAATGGAAGGGGTTCCCCTCCCAAAGCCACCCCCCCCCCACAACCCGCTCGTTGCTTCTCACCTTGCATCCACCCCCCCCCCCCCCCCCCCCCCACCCCCCCCCCCCCCCCCCCCCCCCCCCCCCATTGCTAAATCCTAGATCCGCCACTGCAAAATTATATTGCATCTAGATGAATTATCATCTACATCTACAAGCTACTACTCGCTGTGTATTATTAGTTATCCTCGGTATAAATGTTTATCCTTCCTCCAGGTAAATACATTTCATATAACTAAATCTATTAACGCAACGGATGATAGAAACAATTTCCTACGTGTTTCTAGGCGTCAATCGGATAGGAGAGTGTAATAGCCGGCCTGAAGGGGATGTAGGCATGGTGGAAACCGTAAAGGATTAGAATATCTGCTGTTTTGGGAATTGGTGAATCGTTTTGTTTAATAGATGTTTTTGATACGTTCAATTTAAGAAATATTTAGGCTGAAGGTTTGTCATTGAACCTCACATACAGAAAATACAGAAGACGGTGTAATCGGTATCAGTTATACAGTCTTGAAATAGGGGAATGGGTGAATGTGAAGTGTTGGACTCATGATTGGAGGAAGTGGTACCTCGCAAAATATCATGGTCTTTTTAACTTGAATGTGATTTTTTTGCTTCAAACAGTTTCAATGGGCGTTGGGCCGCTGTCTCTTATACACATCTAGATGTGTATAAGAGACAAGCCTAGTACATGTGAGATATAGGCCTACTATATTATTTGATATGATAGGCCTCTATGATAGGATATAATGACATGAGATAAGCCTATGATATGATATCACTATAGGCTAAGACATATACAATGATACAATATATATGATATAAATGCTTCACATAGCGTCAGGTACATTAAATTCATACGCAAAATTATCTTCTTTACAATCAAGGCGTTATATGAACATACATTATCACTACCATCCTTAGGGGTTTATATCCTTGATATTTTATGAAACTGAAACCTGGCTGAAGGAGAGTGATGAGCCTATAAACAGGGTATGTGCTCTTGATGGTATTGTTTTATAAGTACTTATCTAGTAAGGGTACTTCTCATGGTGGTACTGCAATCAAGTCGGCTTTCAACATTTCATCATGAAAGCCTGTTTTACTATTTAATAGACCTTTCCGGAGTCTCAATCAAACTTAACAACTGACCAATCAGAACACCGGTTTAACAAGGAATCAGCTTAAATTCGTCTTAAGTCCATTTATTTTGCTTAAGTCAAATTTATCAATATTGCTTAGCTTCAAAATTGCTTAAAATTAAACATTTGATTGTACGCATGAGCAATCTAAGATGATTTTTAAGCTAAGATTTTGTTAAGATGGTTTGATAAATCAGCTTAAGATATTTGCTTAGAGACATCTTTTTTTGACTTAAGACATTTGCTAAGCTGAGATTGATAAATCCCAGGCCTAGCTTCTGTCGTCTTGGGGGACCTTAGCAACAATATCCAAGGGGCGGAGCTTAGCGGAAAGGTTAATTGATTTGAGGTAGCATAGATGGTTGTCAATATAAGTTTTTTGGTCCGTGCAAGGCGCTGATCCCAGAGCCTCACTGCTGTTCTTGTTACCAGAACTTTAAAAGCGTCCCAGCGTCGCCATTTTTGAACGGACGGTGTAGGAAATTTTGTACACATAAACTAGAGGTGATTTTCTACAAACGTTAATCGCTCTTTTTTTTAAGTTGGACCTCGGGATTCCCACTACACCTACATAACAAAACAGGGGTTTGCAAGGACTGTACATTACTACCATTACCACTAATAATGCACGTCGCATGGATGGAGCGGTCGGTTATTGTGTTCTAAATAACTTAAGGTTGTGAATTCGAATCGCGTCTTGGTGTTCAATTTTTGTTTTCCATATTTTAAGAAATTTTATTTTTTCAATTTTGAGATATTTTAATTTTGTACAAACGAACAATATTCATATTTTTGCACAAATAAACATTCTAATTATTTAAAAATGTCTGTACCTGTACCGTATTTAAGCGCGGAGGAACGCGCGAAACGGTGAGCGGTCGCTCTTGTTCTTTGAAGGTTATCACTATATATCATACTCTCCCCACCCCCTCCCCCACACCCAAAACTTGAAGAACAAACTAACTTTATGGATAGGGCCTATGGGATAAGTCTATATATGATATAGGCTTGCCTATATTATAATATAATTAAATCATCATCATCATCTTCATATCGTTATCATATCATCACCAACAACATATCGGTTGTCATCATCATCGTCATTCTTTATTCAAAGGGAATGGAGGATTTGAACCCAGGACTCTGGAATTGGAAGGCGAGCGTCTCCACCGCCAACAGCTCCACTACTATACATACTATATTATGTGCAACAGAGTAAATTTTTTCGAAACCATAATTATAGCAGTATGATATAAACCAACAACTTTTATTAACAATAACATAATATAATACAACATGATACAAATTTAGAGATAGCTGCTAGCTGTCATCGACAAAGATAGACCTAAATATTTTAAAGAGTTATTGAAATATTTTCGATTAAGATTATATTTAACGAGCGTGATTCATCCAACGAAGACGATCACTTGAGATTTAATGCTCTAGGCCCAATGATCAAGTCACTTTATGATTACGCTTGGAAAAATGAATTATTTCTGTAGTAGATATATATATATATA